AAAAAAAAAAAACGGAAAACGTAGGTGTTGCGGAAGGTTTAATTATATGTCTTTGGCTTGGATTTGCATCATAGACCGAGGCGAAGAACAAGACTAGGAGGTAAGGACTTTGTCCCTCAAGTATAGACACATCGGGTGTGTCGTATCTTGTTTTGTTCATTTAAATACACATTTTAATATATGAGTGTGTATCAACAAAAAACACATGAACAATTGCACTATATGTCTTATGATACTGAAGATTAAACAGTTTACATTTCTGGAAGAAAACACGATTACACGCTGAAAGAAAGATTACACAGCTAAGCTAAATACATTGTACCTGTATCTACCTCGGTGTGTGGACTCACTACAAGACGATAAGAAGTATTAGCCAGGGGTGGCGGGAATCTCTACAAAAGTTATTAAACAAGCTCCACAATATATTTTTGGGTAATTTTTTTACTATATTGGGAGTTCAAAACTAAGAATTGAGGAAGTAATTTTTATATATTTTTTAGGAGAGGAGGGTCCAATATATTTGCCCATATGAGATGTACAGTAAATTTTTTTTTGGAAAAGGGGGGGGGGGGGGGGTATTTTTAGGGGTTCTTCTTCTGGCTAGCCAATGTTTTAGCAAATTTTGAGGAGTTATCTTTTACGTCCTAAATTTACTATGTCACGCGAAATATGACATGTATCGTTGCCTGCAATGTTATGGTCCTTGAAAGACAAACATTTAGGCGAAACGTCATCTAAGTTTCATGACCGTCTTATTAAGTTAACATAAATATGACATATTTTAAAAAAGAATTCAAAAGTCAAAATAAGGGATCCTTCATATGGGTCTTACGTATGATTTGTCAAGTGTACGTACTTTTCATCAAATTGTAAGAAAGTTCTATTAATACTTAAGTCTGGGAGGACTTTTATTAGTTTATTTATAAGTTGTAATGTGCTTGCTTTGAACAAGCTTTCAGTAACTGCGAGTTCTTTTAGATCAGTTCAAAACTGTCCCATGTTAAGGTAGAACTCCACGTGCTTGTCTAAGTCAGGAGTCTGTAATTCGATGTTTGTCGGTGGATGTTGTCTGTCCAATTGTTTTTCATTTATTGTTTTCTTGTTTTAAATGTTGTCATGTCAGAGGCTTTTGTGACAGACCATACAGTGTGGGTTTTGCTCATTGTTGAATTCATACGGTGACCTATAGTTGCTCAAACTTATTTCATTTGGACATTGGTGGATAATTGTTTCATTGTTATTAACGCATTTTTGAACCACATCTCCTTATGTTTATATTGTAACGTGAGGGCTGAATGCGGAAACATTCCAACAAACATACTCATTTAATCGAGTTACTATAATACATATCAGCACGGCATATCTTCAGTTTAATACACTGTATTTTAATATGAAATTTATAGAATACTAGTATAATTATGATTGATATTTGTATGTACATTTAAACTTTTTATTCCCTTTTCTGTCTATATTTCAGTGGAACCTTTCGTTAAATCGCCATCAAAATCAGCCTCCTTGACCCCGATATTTATTGGTATTGGGTGCGGTATTGCAGTTATACTTATAATAGTTACTTCTCTATATGTGTTTTGCAGCAGAAGAAATAGGGGCAGCACACGCGGTATGTTACTAAAATATATACTATTACAAGTGTGGATTTACCTTACAAAATCATGAACTTTGAAAGGGGCGGGGTATTTTTTTTTGAGCTTAGCTCACAGTACCTCTAGTTTTCACCTGTTACTAGGTTGGCATAATAAATTTGCGCGGCTAATTTATTTTCACTTTTGTGTATAATTATTTCCTCTCTTTGTAGGGGCAAAATATTAATGTGCAGCCTATTTTGGGCATTTGTTTTCAGTGATTACAAGGCCATGTTATATATTTTCAAAATCCTCTTGACCTCTCCCCCCCTTTTCCCCTTCCTCTCCTATGATGCCAAATGCTTGTCCCATTACGAGTTGGGAAATATTGTGTTGTCTTTATTACTTTTTTAGAAATTCTAGCGTTTGTGATGGGCAAGAACAACTGTATATTGAAAGACAGCAAATGTAGTTTTAAATACACTAAGACCTAAATCTTCATTTCAATGTATTTTATAGATTTCAACGCGGACACAGGCCTAAACAGAATAGCTAAAATCATCTAAGGTCAACTTCAAATTACCTGATTGAATTGGAAAGTTAATTTGATAAAGTTTTCATCTAAACTGTCGACCAACAACAATATTCTGTAGTTCTGTTCATTTACTGCGTCTATGTTTTCTATGCTCTTTTATGTCTATAATTCAATTATAGTTAAAAAAATAGTGAACATAAATAACTTAAAATTTTATTTTAGAATCAACAGAGAGCAATGTGTTGTATGCAGCAGTTGATAAGGAACAACAGAAAACCAAACGGCGAAACCCGGGTAAATATCACATTGAAATAATTGTAACTTCTATATTTTGAAATTTTCAAACAGCACTAGTATATTGCAGCTGTGCATATACTGCCCTGCGTATATACTTTATTGATATCGGTCGACTCTAGTAGTGTTGTCAGATCGTACTGATTTATCTACATGGTTTTAGAAGTGAACCTAAAATAATTTAAGCATACATATCAAACCCAAATAGACAAATCTGAGTATTGCCGGGGTGATTACAAACGGTGTGATTTGATGTGAAATTATAGAATTACGTGCTTACGTACATTTCTTCAAGACAACAAAGCATGGTGGAGTTGTGAGGTAATTGTAAAGTCCTTTCTTTCTAAACAAAGCCATTGCGAAAGACAAGAAAATGGGATTGATCAAATAAAATAAAATCAAAATCCAGGTTAATGTTGAATACTATAATTGAACATGTTGAAGTAAAAATGTGTCCTACTACTATTAAATACTTTTCTCTTTTCAAACTAAATACATAAAATAACATGTAAAGATTTAGTAACATAAAGAATATTTTGTTTTATTTATTTAAACGAGGAGAAAAAAATATCAGACCATTTGGTCTCAATTAGATGTTCAGCTATTCAAGCATTTTTTGCTTAATTTTACATAAGGTACAATAAAACAAAAATCGATTTTTATTAATATGAAGCTGTATTGCTAAATATTTGAACTTGCAATGGTAATTTGAAATTCTACAGAGGGTTATTTTTCAGAACAGAGAGAATATGAAGCATGTAAGACTCAGAGTAAACGATGAAAAACTTAAGCAACTAAATATGTTTTACTTTTTGGCGTGTAATAGTTATTTCTAGAGAGAGCCTTTTGTCCTTATCTCTGAAATAATCGATTCTTCCTGTATACATTGCACAATTTTATGTTATTTAAGGTAAGAAAATCCAAACCTTGTATTTTTTATTCTTTTTTCTCATGTAGAAAACGAAGATTCTAACTTGTCTAATGAACCTGCGAATGCCGAATATGCTTCTGTTGTTAAACCCAAATCCAAATCTAAAAAGGTACACTACAAAGGTAGGTCACTTTCATAAATATTCTGGTTTTGTTTTTGTTGCGTTGTTATTATATAGTTTTGAAACTGTTTTAAATAAAGCGACTCCTGTGAGTCCTATGTAGAAGACACGTGCATTAGGCGTACAAAAGTTGGTATGTTTGAAGAGTTTTTTTTTCCATAACTTTCCCTATATTCAATGCTATGGAAAGCGTATGATGTTATATGTACGATGGCTTTCTCGGATTGTCTTAATGATTTGTATATTATTTTAACATTATGGTATTATCGGGTATTAAATAACAATACTTCAAAGACGGTATTAGTTTATTAAATACCAGTATGAGAACATTGAATACATAATGAGTGTACAAAGGAGTTCCTGTTAGGACAAGGCTGGGGTAGTCTTCTAAAGTATAATGTCTAACGTGTATATTATGTGGTACAAATTTTGGGAAGAAGTTTCAATCAATCCTGTGATCAATAACATGTTTGACATAAAGTACTTTGATAAATGACAAAGCGAGGAATACTGGATATAACAAATATCTAATTAGAAATTTTTCAACTAAAACAAAATCACTGTCTGTCAAAGAAATTTCCTTTCATTAAGCTGAACAGGAAACAATTATCAATATCTTTAGTTTTAACATTGACTTGAAAATATAAAATAGCTCCAAAGTAATCATTGATTCCATGTCCAAAACACAACCCTAAACTAAATAAAAGGAGATCTAATATCAATGAGACAGCAACCCAACAACAAAGTCTCATAATGAATTCTAGAGGGCAACAAACATTAATCATCAATAGATTGCTATACAATATGATTATTTCTAAATCGTCCCAAGTCTATTAAAACTGTGAATGAATTTAGCAGAAACAATCAAATATCTGCCATCAACAGGTAATTTTCAAAATAGTAAAACATTAAGATATGACATAAGACAACTACTGAATCAGATGAGATTCCTGACTTGTGACAGGAATATGAATATGTGCCGGAATAAACCAATATAATCTCAAATCCCCTTTTTAACAAACAAAGAGAAACAAAATTTTTTTGGTTTGAATTCAGAATTGGGTATATTCGTCTTTAATTTGTACCTCGGTTTCTGTGTTAAATTGTTGGGAATATTTTTTACCAATTTTCAATAGCTCTTATCATTCCTTGTTTACTTTACCATTGTGTTTTATTAAGATAACCTTATAATTAGTTTTACATTTTTTTAAACAGTATAAATGTACAAAAAAATACATACAATATAAAAAAGGCGATGTGGTATGACTTTTAATGAAACAACTATCCTTAAACTTTAAGACCAATCGGAAATAGATGGGTATTTCATCTTATTTTTAAAATTTCATTAAAAACCCTCATCATATTTTTTTTTATAAACCAAATAGTTAATAATGTCTATTAATGTACATCCCAAATTTCATGTCAAATGTTTTTATGTCGACTTACTCATGTTACTTTCTCCTTTTTTATCTTTTATTTTGTTTTTGGGGGAGGGTTAGGCATATTACTTCAATTTATTATTTTATTTTATTTCAGAAGACGAAATTGAATCAGCTAATGATGAATATGCAGTTGTAGACAAATCAAATAAAAGTAAGCTATTTAGATTTTGTTCATATTGAATTTAAATCAAATGAATAAACCAAGCTTAAATAGCCAATGTTTCTTCATCCTAATTTTAACGATGATTAATCTGTCGAACTAGTATGCTAATCGTTAGGATAAGTAATGGAATAGTCAGCTACGTAAGCTCAGAAATAGAAATATAAAGATAATTTATTGTGTAGTATTAGTGTGTAGATTTGTGAACGATCACAATCGATAGTGTAGTCAATTGGCATTTTCTTAAAATACTAATAGAATAGAGAATGGAAACGGGGAATGTGTTAAAGAGACAAAAACTCGACCAAAAAGCAGAAAACAGCCCAAGACTACCAATGGGTCTTCAACGCAGCGAGAAAATCTCGCACCCGGAGCCGGGTGTCAACTGGCCCTTAAACAATAATACATAATGGTTCAACGAAACGGACGCCACACTAAACACCGAAACAAACAAATGAACCAACATTTAAAAAACACACAAGACTAACAAAGGTTAGAGGTTCCTGACTTGAAAAAGTCGTAAAAATGTGGGGGGGTTAAACATGTTTTATGACCGAGTGTGTTTCTTCACAACTTGTGCTTCTATCAATGTTTATAACGCTATGTCTGGCATTGCATGAAGTATCACCTTGATCAACATTTTGATTAGTTAAAATAGACCACAAACCATAAAAGAGAGGCGAAAGATACCAAAGGAACATTCAATCTCAAAAGTTAAAAGTAAACTGACAACGCCATGACAAACAATGACCAAAAGACAAACAACAGCATACAAAAAACAACACAGAAAACTAAAGACTGAGCAACACGAACTCCATCAAAAACCGGGGGTGCTCCAGAAGGGTAAGCCGACCCTGCTCCACATTTGGCACCGTCGTGACTGCGACCGATTGTATTTACTCAAAAGATGTGCCTCTATCAGTTTTAAGAATGCTTTGTCTGGCATTGATGAGGAATAATCTTGATCATCATTTTGTTTCATCAAAATGGAACACAACCATAAACTACTTTCGATAACCTTTTCTTGTTAAGTTGCTTTCTCATTGTTATGCTACACATATTTTCTATTAACCATGCACATATAATTAACATTTAATTTTTCAATTATTTTTTTAGAGATAGATTACGCAGAGAACGACAATGTATATCCAAATCAAGGCAATCCAGCTTTGGTTATACATCAACCGTTGAAAACAAAGCCATCTGGACGGGTTTGTTTAACTTAATATATGTTTTTCTATGCAGTTTGTCTTTCTTGTGTAGAAAAAAATCCTATATCACGCGTAGAGAATAATACTTGCATTATGGTTTATAACATACATGTATGCTTCAATAAGTAAGAAAATTGAATAGCCGTATTTTGGTATGACAACTACGAATTATACATCCTAGTACAAACATATTTGACAACTTTTTTATTGGTAATGACAAGTTATAATAAGTACTTGTTTGCGTTTGTAAAGGCTGAATAGGAGCATCAGTTTAATACATTGATTCACTGTTAATTTCTTGAATAAATGGTTTGTATTAGAAGGGAAGTGAATAGAAAATTAGGGATCTAATTTGTTAAAAAAAATGTGGTCAATAGAATCATTAAAAATTGTTTCCCGGAAACATCCCCTCGTAAACAAACCAGGTCGAGTACTTACATTTTGTAATGGGAAGATTTATAAATTAAGCTATTAGTTTTTCAATGGATAATAAATCTTCGTCTTAATCAATTTGATATACTATTATCAACATAAACCATCAGTCCTAATAAAATTGTTAATTATTAAGAAAAGCATTTCATTCAAATGCTGTGATTAATTATTATTAATGCGATCCTATATGATGGGAGTCATTCGTGCACTCAAACGCTATTCTTCATATCTCTGTTAATAAATCTTTATTAAGTTAAGGTAGATCGGGTGTCCTTTTCTGAGCATCCCTTCTGGTCATGTTGCAAAAATACTTTTTTGGATTTCAAAATCGTTTACCAAGTATCCTTTAATATACAACAGAAACTGTAAAATTTTAAAATTTAATGATTAAACTTTCCAAACAATAAGCGTAGTTAAGTGTATTTTAAATTTTCAGAAAAATATCCTTTTAAAATCAAGGCTGATAATTATATTGAATTTGATAGGACAAATTGTGTGGGTTTTTTTTTCAAGAAAAAATAAGGCCCGTGACCCTTATTTAAATTTAATATTTCGGAAGTATTATGAAAAGTAATTCTCTCATTGAATTTTAACCAATTCTACATGTATGGTTTATTGTTTCCTCAATAAGGAAAAAAGTTAAGTTTCTCCTATACAACCGATACTAAATAACTGTAATTTCGTTAATTTCAATGTGTGTACATTGTAAACGAAAAAAAAAAACAAGATCCGTGACCCCCAGTTTTTATATAGAATTTTGAAAGTACATTGATCCAAAAGTCTTTTACAGAAGTTTAAGGAAAATCTATCGTCGAACATTTAGAGACCTAGCTACATGTACCTTGGTGAAATTTCGCATAGTATATTATATTTTGTGTATTTTTTTTCATTCAAATTGAGATATAATTTTAACTTAAAACAAGAAGGAAGTGTTTCAAGTATGCACTCATGAATTTGACAAAAGCAGTAGAAAGTTTAACAGTTTATAAGTATTAACACCATCAAGAACTTAAATTATACGTTGATCTTATGGGTGATTTCAACTTTTATTCTTAAGAGCAAAAATCAGGATGGTTTGACATACATAGAAGTATCCTTCACCAGGAAGCCAAAAGATCGACGTCGTATTATTGGAGCTGAAAACAGGACTGACTATGTTGATATAGATTTTACAAGGAAAGCTGATCCATTACCAGACAGTTCAGATCAATAACCTCTTTAAAACTGATTTTATTTTTACTCAAGTATTGTTTTATACATGTGTACATATAGAAATATGTTTTAAGAGTTTGAAGTGTATCAGTTTTACACTTGCAAAATTGTTAGAGGGTCTGGGTGGGATTAACAGAAAAGAGAATAATGGGAAACTAACATATAAAAGTTGGGGAAAAATTGGCAGGGAAAAAAGGAATAGAGATTAAAGGCCTAAAAACTAAAGAAAATATGAGCGAAGACATCCCCATCCATGCCCTCACGCTAAGTATTTCAATAAGTCAGATCAATCTTATTCTGAATACTCGAAGTTCCCCTTTCAGATGAGAATATCATTTTGCTTGTATGTCAGTCACGCAGTAACTATAAAAACAGCAATAAAACAGAAAGGTATGCAGGGTAATTTTTTATTACTAATATTTTTAATAAAAGTCATGCACACACTCATTTCACTGTGTAGTATGTGTGTGTGTGATAGAGAGAGAGAGAGAATTTAATCTAAAGATGTTGTGTAAAAGTGCACACCTGGGTCATTTTGTTTTCAAGTGATAGAAAGAGTGTACTTCTGTCGTATAAAAAATGTTTTGCTTTTTTTTATTTTGCATGATACAGCTTTTTTATGTTTACGTTTTAATCTACTTTGTTTTTTTTTAATTGTGATTATCAACTATTTTAATGTGTTACTCTATTGTATATATTGTTTCCTGTCCTGATGAATATTCGTTTATTACGACAGTATTGCATAGATTTGGGACTTCCTCTGCGAAAGGAAAAATCAAAATTCGATCCATGTCAAAATTCGAAATAAAAATACACTGAAACTCAATCAATAAACTTTACTCTCATATCAATTCACAAACTATTCTAATACAAAGATTGTTGATTATTTAAACTTAATAAGGAATTAAGGTAGATTCATGGTATACCGCCATCTTGGATTGTACAATCGCAGTACACAATCGGTCTAGTTATTTGCCCAAATCTGCAAATTAGGAGACAGATTTGCAATTTATTTGTCACACTGTTTATTTATTTAAAGAAAACTTGGTGATTTATTGTATTATTCAAAATATTCCAACAAATATTAAATTTTGTGTTTTGGAATCATTTTTTTCAACTACGCCATTTAAGGGGAGATAACTCTTTTAGTAAAAAATTACACTGGCTTGATAGGGAAATTTTTTATTTTTACTTGTAGCAAGAAAACAAGTTCGGTGACACCATTTTTTCTTTTTATTTTCTTAAAACATGTTATAAAACCTATCTTCTCACAATTTATTTCAAAATTCTATCTCATAGATTTCTTTTTATGCATACAAATGTGTTTTTTCATGAACAATCTAACCTGATTTAGGCAATTTTCAACGACCCATAGCTTGAAAAATAGCACGGTGACCCATACTTTTTATTATATTTTTGAAAAAGCATAGTAAAATCTTCATTTTGGCAAAGTATAAGAAAATTCTATCTCAAAAAATATATACCGATGATCTACCTTAACATGTGTTTCATTTCAATTTTCAAGTCGATGACCCGGAACGAATCATATTCTTTGTAATCGTTAAAACAGAAGTGTTCTATGTATATATAAGAGAATGATAATCCCTTTCTTCATGAATAAGTACGAGCGTTAGCGAGTACTTATCATGAAGTAAGGGATTATCATTCTCTTACAAACTTAGAATATTGTAAAGTGCTCAAGGCTCAAAAGATCTATTCAAGAATTAGTTTCATTGTCAGTGCAATGTTTATAATTGATGCATGACTTCCTTTTTCGGCATGTCATTTATGGATAAGTTTTAGTGATGTGAGGATTTTCTTATCATTTGGGAAATATTTTTTTTTTAAAATGCGTTATAGATATTAGGTGACACAACATTAGAAAGAAAAAGTAGGAATTGTATGTTTCCTGATTGTAAGTATGAATGTAAATCATGTAATATTTTAGTGAGGAATTATCCTTTTTTATTTACAGTTTAAATCAATTAATACATTTGAGTTACAACTAAATTTTATTTCACAGCCAATAATTTAGGCCGGCTTTTTACATCCAATACTGTTTCATTATGTCAGGGAAATGTTCAAAAATAATGCCCTTAACAGTTTTTATTACTGTTTCATTATGTCAGGGAAATGTTCAAAAATAATGCCCTTAAAACTTTTTAATATGTTCAAAATTAAATTCCTGTTTTTATCGGAATACATGTATTGGAAAAAACTATTCTCCCCAACCGCTGATCAAGTAATCAAAGTTTTGGAAAGCTAATGATTTAGGTTATTTTTTATCTGAAAGATTTTTTTTTCTTTTTATTTTGCATTGCTTTGGTATTGTTTAATTTTATAGTAATTTGAAGTTATTAATATTTTCATAATAAAATTCACGAAACCAATTTTACTGCACCAGTAAACTTCAACTTATTTTGAGATTTTTGTTTGTTTCACAATTCAACTTTTAGTCAGTTTCAATCACTGTGTGATAAATCCTTTCAATCTGACAAATGTGCTTCGGGGCAGTTGTAACTCATTTATAGAAACTCTTTGTTTTGAACTGTAAATAGACCCAAATAATAGGACAATCCCTTACTATAGAACATGATTTACATTCTTTCTTCACAATTAAGAGGCATCCAATTCTACAATTTCATTGTTCGAGAGTACTTTGCTATATTCTAAATTATACTCCTTATAAATTTAAATCTGTCAAAAGTTTTAACGAATTCTATTTCCAATGATACATTTACATTCCAATCAGTTACAATCCATAACGCCATTTATTTCATTGTAGCAATTTACATTAACATATGATTGCACATTACACTGATAGTATCATACACAACTGCCTGTTCAATCGTTAATATGTTACATGTATATACTCAGTGACTAGACGATTGACTCATTTTGTATGTTTTTTTTAATTTATTCGTTTTGCATGATATTCTTTATTTTTGTTTGTTTTATATGTTTTGTAGAATGTTGTATGTCTTTATTTTCTTCGTTTTTCGTTTGGTCATAATGGTGTCGATTATCTCCGACCATGTGTTTTGTTATCCCCTCTCCCAGCTTGAATAAAAAGAAGCGGATGAAACACCACCGTCAAAATACGAAATCAAAAGAGAAGATTATAAAAGTTGTCCGTGTATCATATTTTTAATCATACAGTTTACCATTAGAATGAGTTACGTACATCCGTGTAATTTGATCTGTGTAGGAAATTTGTCTCATATGCTATATTCCACAACATCACCTTAGTTGTCATATACTTATGTATGATCATAACCCTCGAATGGTAATAGTCTAAGGGAGCATGGCGAGTACTTTGATTGATTGATTGATTCATTGTTAACGGCTTAACTTCCAGTGGAATATATGTCGTGCATAGTCAGGACGAGAACACACTAATAATAAATATAATAGGTAGGTCCTGTAATAGAGGCCGTCCGGGATGATGATTGGAGAAATTTGGAATGCCACTGGAAAATGAGGGTATATTGGAAAGGGTCAGAAATTTTGCCTTTCAACAGGTATCCTACTGACCCCTCAAACAGTTGTTGCAAGGGTTCTTAACATGAAAAGAGCGTGGCACTCTCTCTTCACGAGGCATCCGATTTAGCGTCCCCATTTTGAGCGGACGTCAGATGCGAGTACTTTGAGCATAAACCATCTCTGGTCATCGGTGTCTGATATCGTGAAGCCTTATTTCAAACACGTTGATCTATGATATATATGATAAGTGTTAATTTCAAAGAACACACTTTGAAGCGTAGTATTATTGTACATACATGTATATTTAGTTTTCAAATTCGTCAGCGATTAATTCTTTTTATAACGCGTTGATCGATTGTTTACAGCTCTTCATACTTTAGAAAAAAACGCGTTTATTTAGTGGCGAAATCTCTTTGCAATCATGGCGCAATGCAAACATGTATAACTATGCTTAAAGAGAATTCAATTAATTTTCAAACAAATCATTACTATATACTTCCGATTTTGGGGGGAAATCATTTCAAACAATCTTGATAGGAACAACTTTTGGTATAACGTGTTTTCATTGAACATATTTGTAAATGCAGTCGTCTTTTATTTCATTGTTCAGTAAATTTACAGTAAAATATCTGTAAAACGATCCGTTTAATTACTGGTTGTGATCCAATTCATGTTGTAACGCAAAAAAAGGAAGTAGATTTTATTGAAATAAATACTGATTTCCGGAAAAAGGTGAAGATGAGAGATAAGTCGGTATATAAGAGCTTGATGCAATAAGTTGTCAACTTTCCGTTTGTTAAGTGGGTTTTTGTTTCATCTTTGTTTCCTTTTCAACTTTACTTTAAGAGTCACTACCACGCATTCGTAGAACACCATCATAAATAGATCGATTTCTATTTTTAAAAGCTTGGTTTCGTCAATGTGGTAAGCAATTGCTCAAAGGAAATATTTCTTACTGGGAAAAAATGTATAGAATTTTACGAACGCCATCACGAGTTACCCTTAATTGTGACCTACCGAATTAGACCTATCACCGGGTTTGTACTTTCATGAGCAACACGACGGGTGCCACATGTGGAGCGGGTTCTTTTTACGTTTCCGGATCACCTGAGATCACTCCCAATTTTTGGTGGGGTTCGTGTTGCTCAATCTTTGGTTTTCTATGTTGTTTTGTGTACTGTTGTTTGTCTGTTTGTCTTTTTCTTTTTTAGCCATTGCGTTGTCAGTTTATTTTCGACTTATGAGTTTGATTGTCTCTTTGGTACATTGTATCCTTCAGCTCTCGTTTACACATTTTTAATTAACCAATAAACATAGAATATAAACGTATAAGCACAAAGCGACCTGAATTTTTATGAGGGTCTGGATGGAGGTCCTTCATTTCTTTATTCTTTAATCTTTTAACCTATTTTTCTCTATTCTTTATTTATTTTGCCTATTATTCTCCAATTTTATTGATCTTTATTTTTTTTTTTTTTGCTTATGGTCCTCTATTCTTTTTTCTTAAACCATTAACTCTGCATTTTTTTGCCCAATTTTTTTCTTTTCTGTAAACCCCATCCAGACCTTCTCTTATGTATCAGAAAACGAAATCGCCCGGATATTGTGTATTGACGGACATACATATATTAACTTCTTTGTACCTTACGTTTTTACAAAATAAAATAAAACTAAAAGCTTCAATACAATTCACACATACTCACTCCACTCCAGTCTACTTTTATCATTTTTTTCATTGCTTTTGTAAATGTAGAACATACATTCATATCATGTTTTCGTTATAATTAAATGTTTTCGTAATTATATCTTTATAGGAAGAGGACGTCTCTCATGTTGTCATTGTGTCAAATGCTTTTTGCTAATCTTTTTAATAAAATATGTTTATTAACAAACTAAATTAATTTGTTACATGGATTTAATTACAAAATTGGTAAATTTAGAATTCGGTAATAACCGTAAAAATGGCATGATACTTTTTAGTAAAAACAATCCCAGCCCGCAGAGGAGGCCGGAGGCCGAAGGGTGGTCTTACACTGACACACCAAGTCCGGTTGGGATAACTTTATATACTTAGTCTACAGTATAATATATACCCTTCATGAACCCCGGATACAATGTTTAAATAGTGATTAACAGTGAGTTGGTATCCAGTCGTCCTGGTGTAGGGGAATGAATCGTGGCTTCATATATTCTAGATTCCTTTTTGATTTTTTTATTGTTGTTTGGTTGCTGTTTCGTGAATGCGTTTCCTACATCTGGATTAAAATTATGAACAAAAGGGACGCTGATTTTAAAATACCGAAAAAAAGATTCTTGAACACTATCGATAGCCAGCCTAGGTGTAAAATCAGATATTCTCATGCGTTTTATTTATACGTTTCTTTTAGATAAGTGTGATATGGTTAGTTCACAGTAAGTTTTAAAATAAGGAAATGTGATTATTGCCAATGAGACAACTATCTATTAAAGACCAAAAGACAAACATGTGAACAATTAGAGGTCACCGTACGGTCTTCGATTCGTTTAAGTAAGATATAAAAGGCTCCGGGATGACAAGGTGTGAAATAAATATTAGTATTCATTAGAAACAGCTATCTGATTTATCGTAGAGCAAATTTTATTAAAATTCAGATCGTTGCTAAGCACAAAACATATAACAGTGATACAAGTACCGATCAAAAAATACTCGCAGTAACTGAAAGTGAGTTCAAAACTCAGTATCAGCTAATAAATAAACCATGTTTTCCCAGACTAAATGAAAAAAAAAATATCAATCATTACATTTCCCGTGTTTTAAGTAATAGAAAAGCATCCCGTCGTGGTGCAATTCCAAAACTTAAGTATCAACAGGATTTAGAACCAAAAGTGTTAATAACTGGATACCAATATATTTTCAAATATATATTAAACAACAAAAATAAAATCATCGAAGTCTTGAAATGATACATTGCTTCAAGAATTTATGTGTTGATCCTTAATGACAGGAGATTTAGATTAACACCACTAAAATAACAACTCGATGATTTACAACAGCGAAAACTGATTATCATG